TCATAACTTAATAACTGTAGGCAATAAATTATTGCAGTTTAAAGTTTTCATATATTTACAAGTAATTGCTGCCAACAATTTACTAGTGACATCGAACATTATTAGCTGCTGAACTATTTATCTGTATTATAACATTATGTAAAAACATTGTGTTCAATATAAGATTACCATCCTTTTCTCATTCAGTATATATAAACATGTATTTGGTCCCATAGAAGAACAATTTCCCAGTGTGCTATGAGAGAAATTTTGCCTACTCGTATCCAATTCAAACTGCGAAGGGATCTTTCACGTGCACTCCGATGTTTTCTACTGGCATCACTGCAGTCAATCTTTGGGCATAAAAAGTTCATTTTCGACATCGATTTTCCACTGACGTCACTGTATTGCTTTGCTTTTTGGCTGTCTATAGAGAAGATGGCGTAACATTCGTGAGGAGTGTCTAAATTTGGCCCCGGTTAGGTGTAATCCCATATTTTTAGTCGATATAAGAAAACACAAGACAAGGACAAGGCATATTTACAACTGTATTTCAGTATGGATGTATACAGATGAATGTTTAAGATAGCCCCATGCATTTCCTTGTGGAAGGGCTGGGAATAAATAACATAAACTTTAGAAATGATTACTGTAGTTTAGGATAAAGTTAGTTCAAGTCGCACCCCAGCTAGAATGACCCGGGTGCAAATTCCTGTGTGGGACAAGAAGATCTTGTGTTTGTACAAATACATGTATTGACGTGTACATAAAGCAACGTTTGTCAGTTGGATATTGAAGCGCTAAGTTTTCCACATAAATTAATATTATACCAAATGTTTGTTTCGAAATGACTGAAGTAATGTTTTGACAAACATTAGACCCTCATCCATTCCATTCATATCGCACAGATAACATTATCTGGAATATCAGTAGTTAGCTATAACATGTAAGAAATATAAACCTACATTTTAAACTCGAACAAATCAGGGCCCTTATTCACGAAAACTTAAACTAAGATACAATCGAAATTTTAAGAAATACTGCAATTCGATTGGCTGACCAGTAAAATCAATTTGCATATATCCAATTTGCATATTGGTCAGCCAATCGAATTGCAGTATTTCTTAAAATTTCGATTGTATCTTAGTTTAAGTTTTCGTGAATAAGGGCCCTGAGGCATAATTGTTGACCCATATGTCAGTAGTGTAATCTTTGAGTGACATTTAGCGATCGGGAAACACATTAATAGAACACAGTTTTCATGGGAAACAATCACTAGTTTTTATTCTAAAAGCACATTACGACAAGCGTCAACTTATGATAACGATAAGAGGATACTTGTCGAAACTATTAGTGATTGTTTCCAATATAAACTGGATGACTTGTTTTTACGGTAATGACAGCATGTCCATACATATAATACACAACAAGTAAATATAATAATAATATAGTTGTTCTACCGATTGCTACCGTTCGTCTGGGGAAGCGGTTTGGGTCGTTTCTTGGATAATAACAATTTGAACCGGGGGGGGGGGGGGGGTATAGGGAAGGGTCCTGTTTATTTTGGCATCTGCTATCCGGTGGTTCGGTTAAGTTTCTGTCCTCGTTTGTCTGCTTTATTTTGGTAAAAGCGTAAATTACTAAACAAGACTGTATAGGATCAGTTAACTTTTGCAAATCTGCAAGGAGTAAACCAATCTGATTATATTTCGTTTCGGGTTGGGTTTTTGTGCTTTTGATGGTCTCTACTACATGACGAACTGACCAGCTGTAGTGGGTGGATGGGGGCGTGTCAGGGGTTATACGAGTGGCGTTTGACGCTATAACGTCAGACATTCTATTAACCAATCACTGTTGATGAACTCGCTACAAGAGACCGTTTCACTGGCCCTCACATCCACCAGAACGCGGGTTATATAACAACTCTTCCAGATGCTAGTGTAGTAAAGACAAGTAAAACGAAACTTTTAACTTTTTTAACTATAAAAATACGAAATCAAATAGATTGTTGTTATTACAGATTTAACGCCCAATACATTAAAGGGACAATAACACTCTTGCTGGCTTGACAGCTCCAGAAAATAAATAATAGCCTTATTCTAAGTATTAGATGTTTAAGTATCCTACCTGTTGTGTAAATTATCCATTAAATCATAATTTACTTGTCCAGAGGGTTTGAAAATGTTTTTAAATCCAAGTCACATTTGAAAAGCTTTACGTTTGGCTTTTCAAATCATTTAGTTGAATTTTTCCAATTTTTTAAATTAGGTGTGTTAAGATGAAATTTGTATCATTAATTAACTGGAATATTGTAAAATAGTACAATTTGTTGACCAGAATAAAGATTGGGACATATTATTCAGTTACAACAAGAGTGGTATTGAGCCTTTAAATATGACATTATGGACAGGTTGATTTAATTAAACTATTCACTCATAAAGGGTTGGACATTGGTAAAAACACAAAATAAAAAAGTCCTTATATATCAAAAAGTCACCTTAAACACACTTATAAAATCGCTGTCGTGAGAAGAGAGGGTCATCTTCTCCTTTTGTTATGATAAAACAATTTAAAACAGGAGGTCCAACTGACTGATGTTTGGCGTCATCAGTGAGGATAGAAAAAAAACGTGGGGGGGGGGGGAGAGAATCCGCTTGCATTATGTGGAAAATCGACGTGCTAGCGGTAAAAGCAACATAGCTGGACCCGTGGATTATTTACATACTGTGAAAAACTGTTCATCCAATAAGTTCCATATAGTTAAACGTTGGTTAAAAGTCCTTTAAAGCGGTTCACAACTTCAGCGTTTGTTTAGTGCGACCCTCTTGCACCCATTTAATGGTTGGTTGTTAGTCATTAAAGGGACAATAACACTCTTGCTGGCTTGACAGCTCCAGAAAAAAAAGCCTTATTCTAAGTATTAGATGTTTAAGTGTCCTACCTGTTGTGTAAATTATCCATTCCATCCTATTTTACTTGTCCAGAGGGTTCGAAAATATTTTTAAATCCAAGTCACATTTGAAAAGGTTTACGTTAGGCTTTTCAAATCATTTAGTTGAATTTTTCCATTTTTTTAAATTAGGTGTGTTAAGATGAAATTTGTATCATCAATTAATTGGAATATTGTAAAATAGTACATTTTGTTGACCAGAATGAAAATTGGGACATATTATTCAGTTACAACAAGAGTGGTATTGAGCCTTTAAGTAAACAATGGATCACCCTCATCCAGCATAAGCTTGGGTTAAAGATTACCAATCTTGTATGTAATGATGTGATATTGGTTACAGTGTTTTCACACCTGCAAACTAACGACAATGCGGGTTTTATTAAACATACATTAAGCAAGAGCTAAATCTGCCTATTGCAGGTCTTTCTTTAGACCTGAAATGTTATCTAAATTATTAATTAAACATTAATTAACTTATCCAGACCATAATCAACTCTCGATGACATTGCTAGCCTGCGATGTTTATTGGATTAGGTTCCGATTTGCTGTTCGACTTACATTCATAATAAAATCAAAAAATGGATAATCGAGACTATGTTTTTTATCCTACCGATTTTAGTAATGATAATTGAGACTAGCCCCAATATTCAGAGTGGATCAATTTGACTGAAATTTTCAGCAAATTGGCTTTACATTATCTAGTTTTTAACTATTATAATGAGAACTGCTAGCTAATTTCCCATAATGTATCTTTAAACAATTGGCTATAAATATCTTAGGTAATGTCGTAAGAAATAACTAGATGTTAAAGTATGTAAAATTAATTAATTTGCTTTTTAAACTTTACGAAGTTAAATAGCACATTCCATTCTAAACATTTCATGTTGGTTCATGCTTCGTCGTTTTCCATCAACCAAATATTAATCGTATACGTATCTTCAATATACTAACTTAATAATGACTGTTAGCAAAAAAAAAACCCTAGACAATACAAGATTGAATCACTTATATCCAACATCAGTTTGGATTAAAGATTACACAGCAAGTGTGGGCATTTTCTCATAGTGAAGTTATTAATATTGATAGCCTAACAAAGTACATTCTACATTTTTTAATTAAAAATTTGGTCAAGGTAAGGATTACGTTCGCTATAAATCGTTTGCGTGAACCCCTCGTTTAAATTTGGTTAGAATGCAAATTGAATGTATTCCATCAGACAGACAAAAATAAAATCAAATCAAAATTTTTATAAATAGTACAGATTACTTAAATAGTGCAAGTCTTTTAAATATCACAAGTTGTTTGAGCAGACCCCCGCACCCCTCTGCCCCAAAAGTATAAAACCTTTTATTTCGCTGATCAAATTAAAGATAAATAAGAAAACTCTAAAATGAAAAATTAAAATCCAATATATTTATTTACATAGTATTATATACCGCTTTATTTTTAATAATATGTACAAATTCGTAGCACAATCAATCAGCCATTTATTTAAAAAAAAGTAGACATTTAAAACAATTCAGCCATTAATGAAAAGTAAACTATTGCAACCAATCAGCTATTTATAAAAAAAAGGAGACTATAAACACCAATCAGCCATTTATGACAAGTAGACTAATACCACCAATCAGTCATTTATGAAAGGTAGATTACTACGATCAATCAGTCATTTATGACAAGTAGACTAATACCACCAACCAGCCATTAATGAAGAGTAGACTATTACAATCAATCAACCATTTATAAAAAATAGACTTTTACAGTCAATCAGCCATGTATGAAAAGTGGACTAATTCCACCAATTAGCCATTTATGAAAACTACACTAATACCACCAATCAGCCCTTATGAAAAGTAGACTAATACCACCAATCAGCCATTTATGAAAAAATGATTAATACCACCAAGCAGCCATGTATGAAAAGTAGACCATTACAACCAATCAGCCATGTATGAAAAGTAGACTAATACCACCAATCAGCCATTTATGAAAGGTAGACTAATACCACCAATAAGCCATTTCTAAAAAAGTAGACTTGTACTTATTGTAATTGAAAGGATGATCTAGTTCAGTGACCGATGGCGTGACAAATGTTGGATAATGTCTATTTTTTAATAAATATTTTCTCCAACCCCAAACATGGTGCCTCGATTAATAAAGCCAAGATAAAACTAACTGCAAACGTCAGTGCAAATGTTCCCATAAAACCATTGATCTGCAAATATAAATTTCACATAGACATTTAGACTAAAGACAATAAAATTAGTATTACAAAAATAGGAAATCGAACTATCCTAACGTAAGTTTACTTTATTTCTTATAGATTTCACGTCATCACTTACTGAACCCTTGTACTGGTCAGTACACAGGGGACTGGGGGGGGGGGGGGTCTCATTTATATGTCCATGAAAATTGAGTCCAAGATGGCATCATAACCAAAAATACTTTTCAGCCCCTATTTTGAAGTTCTAATTATCTAGCTTAGTTTTGGTTCAATTTAAGTTTGGGATTTTGCGGCTTTTAATACAAAAAGTAAAACAGAAATTGTTGGCTACAAAGATCAAAGGCCCTTCATGAATACAAATAGTATTGATCAAAAAGATGCGATCGGTCTTGAATAATATTATCAAAACAATATATCAAATTTCAAAAAATCGCATTACTAGCATAAGGTAAGTTTTGTTTGAATGTTAGGTCCAGCTGGGACATGGAACAGCCTGCTTTATCTTCGGGGTTACTCCTCAACCTTAACATGGGATGAAGCCTTTTAGTTGGTCTCATTTAAGCCACTGGGGATCAGTCCTTAAATTCTCATCGAGAATGAACAGACACATAGAATTAGCATCTGATATACACACAGGGCGCATACAGTGCGTAATTTGCCACAATTGAGCATTGTTTCAATACCTGACTATTGTATTATGGGAAAATGGCTCCCGTGGGATAAACTGTGTTAAACTTACCATATAATACATATCTATATATGCAAAAGATCTGATGCTTTCTGTTTCAGCTGACAGAATTATAAGATGAACTAAATATGCTCCATACGTTAATCTAGACAGTGGTATCCAGGCACTCCATGATAAAAAGCTATTAACAATACCTAAAAAGAAAAGTTTTTAAGTTACGATTGTTTACTGATGATGTTTGGTGCTAACAGAAATAACAGGAAAAAGCCCAAAGAATTAAATGTCGTTAATTAGGAAAAACAAAGTCTATTCTCTTACTGGTATAAATGAACCCTGGTCTGATCACTCTTCAAAAACAGTATTCAGGGTGTAAAGATCATGGATAAATATTTATTAAAAATAAGAATAATGGACAAACAAACTATCAAAAAATGATTTACCTCCGTATCCATTAACACAAACGAAAATCATCCAGGCAACAGCAATAGCCCAAGCAGGTCGGTAAAGTGTTTCTTGTGCCATAAAGTATTCATTTGTCCATTTGTGTCCATCTACTTTGTAATTATCATAAGTTAAATATGTTGATAAGAGACCGAATACAGCAGCAATTATACTACCAATCACTAAAATTAACTGAAAAATACAATTTACGTGATATGAATACTCGTAGATGTTATGATGTCCATACAGAAGTATGATTACATCATTTGCTGTTATTTTCAAGTTCTTATTAATTAAACGTTGTACGGTCCTACATATCTATGCAAATTCATTTATCGATAAAAATAATTCAACGGCATCAAATGTAGCTGTGGTTGTTTTTCAGTGTACCAGAACACCCCATAAAACAAAATACATGAAACATCTTCTTTGGGTCTCGGTCAGAAACGGAATCAATTTTAAACTTCTTTGTATTGCGCAGAAATGACTTAATATAACAGCCCATATGACAAACCACAAGGAACGCTCAGATCGCAAAATGAATATTATTTAACGGTATCTAATTATATACTTAAAACACTTGGGCACAGACCTTGCTCCTTCGTTCGTACAAACCCTATGATATTCTCTTCCTTTAGGAACAAAGAACTCAAAGTGTGTGGAATCTATCAAGACACGAGCTCACAAAGCATTCTCAGACTTAAGTTAAGAATTCACTCAAAATTGTTCACCTTATTTTAACTAAAATATAGCACTTTATAAAACATTTTTGTTCTAATGTATCAGATACACCAATAAGAAACTGTGTGCAAAGTTTTATGTTTCTGGATCAAAGATATTTCTCATAAACAGTGATTGAAAGTTGTTTAAATTCTTAACTGAGAAAGCTTTGTGAAAAAGCGGCCTATCTATTTACTATATATATAATTAATACACTGATTGCCTTATTTGTTTTTTCTAAAATATATCTATACTACAGTCAGTGTGGATCCCTGTATTCAGTTTGCTCAAAGTCTTGATTTACAGTTCTTCTACATTGTGCGATCAGTTTAAAGAATTAAATAAAATAAAACCAAGTACGAACAATCCAAACCATAAGACAGAATTCGAAGTCCTAAAAAAACGTTATAGGCAAAATAGTGTATTCAAGAAAAATAGTGTAATCAGCAAATTGACTGCTCCTCGTGTACAAAATACACGACAAACAATGGTAACAGGTGTCCGGAAGAGTAAGCTTACCCTGCCTGGCGCCACACCCGCCATAGCTGCATCCAAACTATTACGCGAAATGTCGGCAACATAGCGTGATAGGCCAATGAACTATCGGTATGCAAAATGCACGCGATGAACTGTGTTAACGATGTAGTAGACATTATCAGGGAGATAGTAATGGTATACGTGTCAATTAAATATATCTAGAATAATAGCCGAGAGAGACACGTTATATTTACCAATCAAATCAATATGACGGCCATAAAACTTTTTAAAGGTTTTAATAAGTTTAGTGCGCAAGTATCCTTGTAGTTGAAGCTTAGATGACAAATGCCTCGATCTACTTAAAAAATCAGAATAAAAGGAACAAGCTCTCGCGTAACGAATTAGCTGAGACACAAACACTCCATAACCTGGTGATATTGGAATGTTACTACTAATAAATGGAAAGTTACCAATCGGAAAGTCAAAGTCATCACGTTTATCGTACAATTTAACACTCAGTTTATGGCAATTGTCAAAATCGAGACGCAGATCCAAGTAGGAAGCGTAATTGTCACTGTCAGTGGTGTTTCTAATTTCGAGCTCATCAGGCTATTATTATACCTTAGGAATCTTCCGTTTCCCTTTGGTCTTGTGAATGATGAAACCAAGAATCAAACCAATGGCGTATACACCAACTCTGCTATAAGGTTTCACATAAACCTGTTCAAAAAATTTTCCAAATGCACCTTGTCTGTTTGGATAGTTAAAATAATAAAAATAAAATTTATAATGAGTCATAACAATACACACAACGATAATTATCTGGTTCCCCAAAAAAGATCGAGAATTTTAAATTTTCGGACCGACACATTTCAGCCCGAGCATACGTTTTAGGGTTAATGTCAGGCCATTTGAATTTGAATGAATGAATGTATAAACCTGGGCTCAACGACCTACTTTTCGAGCTAATAAAGACGGGCATACGACATAAAGTGTGCTAGGCTATGATGGAAATTGCATTCCAACTGCAAAAGTTTCTTTTACATGCACGCCAACGTATACAACGTTTTTTTTTCGTTTCATCGAAAGCAGGGCCTTAAACACCATTTCATTTCGTTTTGTCTAACGACCATGTGCAGTCCTTCGTCCAAGAACTTTCGCAGCCTATACCAAAATTGAACCCGGAACCAGCACGGCTCACGAAATAGGCAATTAAGAACCAATACAAATAATCCGAAAACCAATACCAATGTTACATCGACCTATTTTAGCACATTACAGTAGTAGTCTTTAGTACGAATTCTACGTATACCCAAATTCTGTCGGAAAGAGTAAAGTTTCTATTTCGTTACATTCCAGGCTTTGGATGTGCAAGTGTAGCAACTGATATTCACTACAAGGAGGACGTCTCAGCTTTGATAACAAACGGACTAAACCTTTATATTAGGTCCACCTTCTTTAAAGAAGGTCCGCCCCCACCACCACCAGAACTTTAGAACTGTATTTCTTGTATCCCCATTAGCCCCCGAAGCGTACCCGCGTGAAATTTACCAAGTTTAGAAACATTCTACACCACTATTTAAAACTAAAAAAGTACATAAGTACTGGGTTTTTTTATCGACTGAGACGTTAGATTGAAGTAATAGGGTATGTTTCAAGGTCATCAAACTAATTCCTACAATAAATTTCTACTCACTGTAAGAAACCCGCGAAGTTAATATTCCATGTTATATAACCAGTTGAAATAATCTGCGATGCAACCAGTCCCAGTAGTACTAGTATACCAATAACATTGTACCTGGTTAAAGAAAAAAAAGAAAAAGATAGAGTGATTTATATGGTAATGTCTGTACAATACGCATGTGTACCCCTGAACCCTTTACGTATGCATGTCCCTTGTTTGTTCATTTACAGTGATTAACAGCCCCCCTCATAAACTCGAAGCACTCGTCGTAGTTGGCTAAATTTAGTCGAAACAATACATATTTCGGGCTGCGCATTCTTGAAATTATTTCAGATAATGAATAACATATATACAAATATCAGCGACTGGGCTTCTCGTTAAGTATAAGTACTATATCACATATGTTGATGTGTATATTGTATTTTTGTATATAGTTACCCTACAGCTAGTGGAATTTATGCTAGTGTACTTATGACATAAAACTGCATATCATTCGCTAAAAAACTAGACCAGCTCATACACTGTTAAATCAAACGACACGGATAAGAAATTTAATTGCATACTCACCCTAGAGCTAGTGGAATTAATGCCAGCGGACTAATGACATAAAACTGCATATCATTTGCTAGATACCACGACCAGGCCATACACTGCCAAATAAAGTATCCAGAATAAGCAAAATTGAATTTCGATTTCGTTCTTTTTACATTTTCCTCATATACATTTAACACGAATTGCAGAATAAATGGGATCTTAGAACAGGACTAATGAGTCACAACTACGCACTAAAATTTACATGGTTGTACTTAAGACTTAAGTAACGTACAGGATGTCTTCAAGGTAATTCAAAAACTCTTCAAACACTTAAAAAATTCTACATGTATTACTTGTTTCCAAACTCTATCAAATATGACAATTTGTTGTGATTTCCTTGCACAAAATGATATTTTGCTGCCGGAAGATGATACATCTTGAAAATAGCCACCATCTTCGATTTTCGTCTGCGGCACTATCAAGATTCATTAAATTTGTCTGAAAAATTGTAGTGATCCCTTTCTCCATTACCAGACACGCCACCCCAATCCCTACTATATACTTACCAGTTCTGAGTCCAAACGATATAAATTGATAATTACCAGAAACGCCGGGGATGGGTGGCCAAATGATTAGCGCGTACGCGTTGTATCATTACGTCTGTCATTGAGTAAACTGGCGTGGATTCGATTCCACGGTTGTACGTGACAAGGAGTATAGTCGCCTGTCCATCCTCGTGGGTTTTTTCCGGGTCCCCCGGTTTCCTCCCAATGCTAAAGAACCCTACGCGCAAGTCAATTAATGAAATAAAATTGAATCATTTGTTAGTCCCGAAGTGACCTAGTTTGTGTCGAGTTTGTGTCGAGATGACGAAAAACTCAATTTCTCACCCTCTCTCTCACCAGACACGCCACCCCAACCCCTACTTTATACTAACCATTTCTGTTGAGTCCGATTTATATAAATTGTTAATGTACAAAAGATTTGTCCACCAATAATCTTTACAGTTCTGTTCTGCTCCTATTCCTACAGCCGTCGCTACCTGTGGACCGTCCATTAAGTACTTAGTAAGATGGGTATAGAATAGAATGACAAGCATGTAGAGTGGTGTCAACCTGTAAATAAATTATTGATTTTAAATATTATGTACATAGGATCAGTAGACCTTGAAGCTCCAGCACGCCAGAATCAAGTTAAATATACACAACCAAAAGTATAAGCAATTCCATTTGTTACAATTTCTGGTCCAACGATTGTTTAGTTCGATTAATCAAACTTTAGTTATGACCATTTAAAGCTTAGATTGTTTGTATTGATTACTTTTATCGGATCTAGAAATGTTGCACAATACTACGAGCCAATGAAATCTAAGTAGCAGTTTTATATAATGTATAGTTACAAAGGATATGATATCAAATACATCAATTCCTACCTCCAGTATCTATGGAAATAATACAACGCCATCTGTTTTCCGGTCACCTTTCCAGTTTTAGAAATTTCTCGAAGAAAGAGGTACGACACTAGAAGTCCACTGGAAGAGAATCATACGGTAACAGTTAGTCCAGTACAACATCTGTATTTTGGCTATGTACATCCGCGTATTGGATTTCAAAACTGACAAACAGACCCTAGGGTATTATAAATGGGATGGTACATAGTAATATCTAATGTCTATAAATAAGTTAGCATATAGTACCTTGGAAGGAAGAAGCTGTCTACAGGCAGAAACGGTAAGGGATTATAGATGGGGTGGTATTATAGTAATGTCTATAATTAAGTTAATATATAGTACCTTGGAAGGAAGGAGTTGTCTACGGACAGAGACGGTAAGGGATTATAGATGGGGTGGTATTATAGTAATGTCTATAATTAAATTAATATATAGTACCATGGAAGGAAGAACCTGTCTACAGATAGACACGGTAAGGGATTATAGATGGGGTGGTATTATAGTAATGTCTATAATGAAGTAAACATATCGTACCTTAGAAGGAAGAAGCTGTCTACAGACAGCGTTCCATTTGTAATGATTTGAAACGTGAAGTCGCCCATTCTACCAAAAAAATCCATTTTATTTTCTGAAACGGAGATAAACTTGTATTGTACTTGTTTTAGGTCTGTCATAATGGTAATAGTAAATCCAAAGAAATCCGACGTCTTTTTATATAATTTACAACATACAAACGCAGTCATAATAGATAGATATTTTAAAACATTATTTGCTTTTATATGTTCGAATCCTATTGATTGTTACAGAAAAATCATACAAATTTATTTCTGAAACAGACGGGTGAGGATTAACGACTTGTGGTCAAACTTGCAGTAACAGAATTTTAAGCACGACTCGGAACTTCACAAATGGTATCGAATATTCCCAAGTATCGCAATTCCCACTTTTCCCGATCATTTCCAAATGGCTCAATATATTTTGCTTAAGTTAAACACATACGGCGCATGGTAGTGTTTTATTTGCATATTTAAACACAACGTCTTCCCCGAAACAAGGACAACATAAATCCCAAAGACAAACCCACGAACAAGATACGTCCCACATGAACAAGATACATTATCATACACGAACAAGACACATCACACACGAACAAGACACATTACACATGAACAAGATACATTACACGCGAACAAAATACATCCCACACAGACAGATACATAACACACAGACAAGACACATACTAACAAGATACATCACAAAGGACAAGACACATTACACAAAGACAAGACACATTACATACTAACAAGATACATCACTAAGGACAATACACATTACACACGAACAAAACACACCACAAACTGACAAGACACATTACTCAAGGACAAGATACGTCAGACAAGAACCTATAACTACTATAGTCCCAAACTTGCACTGGCGTATGAAGTCATTAAGTTATAATACTAGCTAACAACTGGCGATAATCGGCTAGAATTTCGAAAAAATTACCTTAGTGTGAGAGGACAACAAACGATGACATTTACAAATAATAATCATTGAAAAGGTGCAAAATAAATATTTATACCTACCCACAACACCGAGTAGTTGCATTATAAAATGGCCTAATAAAACCCAGGTCATACTCAATACTCTAATTCCATGTAAACAACTTAATGTACCAGATGGGGTTGAACAGTCCAGAATCTTCTTTCCATTACGAATAATAGAGAAGGTCAGTAATATTTGACTACATTTTCCAATTTCTGAAAATAATATCGATATCAAGGTATTAGTAATCTAAAACACAAATATACTCTTAAAAAAAAAGTAGGGGATATTGAAATACAAATATCTCTGCAGGTTGTGATATGATAAATAGCCATGGACACTTGACATGCTTTGAGAGTATATTCACAGATGAAGAACTTATCGCCCCAACAGAACCACTGAGCTGCACATGAGACACGCAATAGCGCCATACACGTGGGAGGGGTTCATTGTCAAATTTGACACTTCAGGGAAGGGTTGATGAAAACTGCCGCGTGCTGGTTTATCTACCCATGTTTGCTCTTCTATCGGTTCTTGCATAAGATTTACTGTTTAGCGTATTTTTGTTTTAGTGTGTTACGTTTAATTTGATAGGGAGACTTGTTCGTCGACGTCAACGTCATCCGACAACACTGCAAGAATTGGCCGTGGCACTGCCAGAGGAGTGGGTCAGATTGCCCCAAATCGAGATTGGACGGTTGATTAGGAGCATGCCACGACGAATTGCTGAATGTCTGAAGATTGGTTGAGCAATTACTCATTATTAAGACAAATTTTCACTTTTGACAGTGTATCGCTTTGCGAGTGAAATGGGGCCGTCAGATAAGCCGCCCATATGAACTGTTTATGTTCATGTGTAGGCAATTGGCCTGTTATTAACATACACTGGTTACCTCTAATAAAAACAGAAGTGCATTTCCGCAGTTTTGTATTGTTTCTGAATATCCTCTACTTTTTTGGAAGAGTATATAATCGAAATTCTTTCCGATATATTTATTCGACCAATAAGTGGTCAATTTATGGCGTGCGTTTCGAAATCAAATTGTGCCTTTACTTAATATATCCGGATCTTCCCTGTAATTATTACCGATTGCTCACCAGGAGTTGTCTGTTTTACATCAAAATGTTTAAGATTGCCATTAGACAGTGCTACACCATTGGCCTTGACTCCTCCATTTTGATTATTACGTTCGACGTCATGGTTGGAGTCGACGCTTATTGATGTTAAGGATATGGCAGGGTTGTCTATGCCGACGTCTCCATTTACAGAAACCATATTAGTCTCATTTAAAGGGATTTTGTCACTTATTGTTGTGACGACTTCCCCGTTTCCTAAATTGTCTGTGTGTCCTAGAGATTTCCTGTTTTTCGAGTGAAAAGTATATCTTGATTGAACCAGATCCAGTAATGTACCAAGTAGACATAGAAGACCAAAAACGCTGTAAACAAATCTGGAAAAGAAATAGATAATATGATGAAACGAAATGATGAAAGCTCCAATCCCATTGGTGGTACAGCAATTTTCTTATAGTGCCTTTAAAATAAAACCACACCTGTATTTCAACAATGTTTTCTTTTACTATAGGTTCCTTAGTGTTATAAATTTCATTATATAGTACTACTTCTGGTTTAGGACTCTGTCCGTGCAACGGCATGCAGATCGACATCTAGTATACAATAATTATTGTAATAGGTGAATAGTAACCGATTTTCTGAATAGGATTAAAAATAAGAGTATCACCACCAACTCACACTGTAACAATAGCACCCGTATCTCCCTTCATAGATATAACTTCTACAAACTCTACTGAACTAACAGCCATACCCACAGCTTTTAATTGCTCTGAAAAATATAAACTATAATTATTATGTTATATAGTTTCAAATTTTTCACATTCTGCCAAATTACTGATGGACGGCGATGTTTTTTTCCAGCTTATTTTTACATTTATAAATCTTAATAATTGACATGAGAGGGGAGGGGCATGATTACTACGTTGTGGTGTACAAAAATGTCCTATTGGGAGATCTTTAGCAGAAACAAAGGACGAGCATCCCTTCAGAATTAAATACCACTGCTAAATAAAACTTTCAGGAATTTCCCACAAGGTTTCCAATGGTGCCAGTTTAAATAAATTTACATGTTGTAAATAATAACAAAAATATATATTCATTTCATTCAAATATTTTCCTAGGTGTTTGGGATACAATAATATTTCAGTGATACTCGGGTTCTTTTGTCTTTCGATATCAATCTTCAAAGCTAGTTAGACGTTGCTCCAGAGCAATCCCGTGGTTTCCAATACCTTCGCCAAGAAGAAAAGAGCAGAGAGAATGCGAGCGGCGATTAGACCCCGTATTATGACATTATCACAAAGGGGTAATAATCTACTTACGTGTATTCAACGCAGCTGTCATATTCACCTTTTTGCATGAGTTTGGTATACACACGTCCCATCTTAAGGAAGGAGGTCCAAGTGCCTAAAATATTAACAAACATGTTCAAGAATTACGTTGATGATTTTGAGTTCAGGGTGTGCCAGTTATGTTTTTACTCCATGTATTTATTTCCTAACACACTGGAGCGTACCAACAACAAGGCTTCAATAACCCTTTAAAGTATATTGTTTTAGCACATTTGCCCCTATTTATAACGGTTATCCACATTAGTATGTATTGAAGGGGCATTATGGGAGATTGGGTAAAAAAATTGAAGTTTTGGCTACAATAGTTAAAAAAAGATAACGTAAATAGAATATGTTGAATATTTCAGTTAAATTGCTCCACTCTGAACCGAGATTAGCTTTTGAATTTTAGGCTAGCCTCTTTTATCATTTCTAAAGTCAGTACGATAAAAACAAAGTCTCGATTATCCAGTTTTACGTTTAATTACATCCTTCACAAAATGTATTCCAATCCGCTAAATATCACAGGCAAGCGATGTCACCGAGGGTTGAATATGGTCTGGATAAGTTAATTAATGTCTTATTCTAATTTAGATAAAATTTCAGGTCTAAAGAAAGACCTGTGAACAAAAGTGCTGTGGGGCTGAATCATCAAAATGCGATACATAGCTCTGACTAATCTGAAATTAAAACAATGCGAAGAATAAAAATTCTCCGTATTGTTTTAATTTCACATGACGGTAAAGACTTTCGCACAATGGCAGTTCATACCGTCCAGATACGGTTGATCTTCATGCTAGGGTTTATGAACGTTTGAAGTAGCGGATCTAGAAGCTGTGAATAGGTTGGCAGTTTTATACAAGTTGGCATAAAGTTCATGTCATATTCTGATTGTTATTGATTTTGTTATTATTTTTTTGTCAACCATAGGGGCAGTGGCGTAGCCAGGATGTTTGCGAAGAAGAGAGGAGGGGGGGGGGCTTGGATGGCCTGGAGCTCCCACCCCCACCCCCTCGCTACGCCAATGCTTAGGGGTGCTTACTTTGTCTCGATAATATTATTTAAAGACTTACAAACAATCCAGCTGGTATTAAAGGTGATATAGACTTTGGAAGACTTAAAGATAT